AAAAAAAAAAAAAAAAAAAGAGCCAAGACAGGGCTGGCATTCCTGGCACTGTCCCTCAGGGGTTTGGGACTTTTTACACTTTTCTGGCTGGGGGAGAGAGAAAAAGTGACAGGTCTCCCATCTTCAGGAGGGGTCCTGGCCTCCTGGGGTCTACTTAGGTCTGAGGCGAGCATATACCCCAGAGAGTGGGGGACTGAACTTAAGGGCACTGGGGTTCCTGATGGAGAAAGTCTTAGGAACCAATGCGGTCATGCCGAGAAGACCTACCAGGGTGGTGGAAATGGGGCAGGCTGGTCCGGGGAGTTCCAGTGGTTCTGGGGGCTGAAGCCTGAGAGATGATTCCAGGCGACCGGCTGTCCGCCCACACCTGCAGAGCAGAAGCGTGTGGCTCCAGGCCCCCCAACCCCCTCCAACCCACACATGCACCCCCCGTCAGCTCACACCACCCTTTCTATCCTCCCATCCTGGCAGGCTGCAGCCCTCCAAACCCAGGGCAATGTTGTGGCACAGTTCCAAGGACCTACTGATGGTGCCTGGCCCAGGGAGAAAGGGTTGAATGAGGTCCTGGGTCCGACAGAATGATGGACACAGAGCTGGCCAGTGACAGCCAGGGCGCCGCTGATTCAGGCACTCCCTGGGCTCTGCAGAGCTCAGTCTGATGTGTGAGGGGAGGGAGTTAGGATTCCCTTCAGGGCAGGGCAGGGCAAGTTGCAGGTGTGGGGCAGACTCACCTCCGGGGATGGTGGGGGGGATGTGGATTTGGGTGACAGCGAGCGCTGTGAATGGAGAGGGGGCTGGTCAGAGCTACAGGGGCAGATTCAGCCTCTTCCCTAGAACGCCAGAGAGGCCACCTCATCCCCCACCCAATGCTGCACACTTTCCTGGCCAGCTCCTGGGCCACCTCTGCTTTCTTGGATCCTTCCCACAGTTCCCTGCACCAAGTCCTCACTCTTCCCACAGGAGGCACAGAGAAGCATGCAAGCCTTGCAGCAGTGCGCCTGGGGCTCCGAGGGCCAACTCTTTTCTTCCTTCCTTCCTTCCTTCCTCTCTCCTCCCCTCTTCTCTCTCCCTCTCTCATCTTTATTTTTTTCCTACCTCCTTTTTCCTTTTTCTTTCTTTTCCTGCCTTCCTCCCTCCCTTCCCTCTTTCCTTCCTCTCTCTCTCTCCACTTTCTTCTCTCTTCTCTCTTATTCTTTCTCCTCTTTCCCTCTCTCATCTTTCTTTCTTGTGGTCTCACTCTGTTGCCCAGCCTAGAATGAGTAGCTCTATCACAGCTCACTGCAGCCTCCCCTTCCCAGGCTCAAGGGATCCTCCCACCTCAGCCTCCTGACAGCTGAAACTACAGGTGCACACCACCACGCCTTGCTAATTTTTGTAGAGATGGGGGTCTCCCTATGTTGCCCCGGCTGGTCTCAAACTCCTGGCCTCAAGTGACCCTCCCATCTTGACCTCCAAAAGTGCTGGGATTATAGGTGTGAGCCACCATGCCTAGCCTGAGAACCAATTGGGGAATAGTTGGTCCTGTCCTCAGAGCCTCAAAACAAATAGAAGGGACAAGACTAAGAAGCATCCAAGGATGAGGTCGGAGTTCATCATGCAGGCACTGAAGTCACCCCATGGTCTAGCCCCCGTCACTGGTCAGCCACGACACTACTCTGTCTTTTTTTTTTTTTTTTTTGAGACGGAGTCTCGCTCTGTCCCCCAGGCTAGAGTGCAGTGGCTGGATCTCAGCTCACTGCAAGCTCCGCCTCCCAGGTTTACGCTATTCTCCTGCCTCAGCCTCCCAGTAGCTGGGACTACAGGCGCCCGCCACCTCGCCCAGCTAGTTTTTTGTATTTTTTAGTAGAGACGGGGTTTCACCATGTTAGCCAGGATGGTATTGATCTCCCGACCTCGTGATCCGCCTGTCTCGGCCTCCCAAAGTGCTGGCATTACAGGCTTGAGCCACCGCGTCCGGCCTACCTTGTCTTGAAGGCAGTTGATGAGTACCTGCCTTGCACTCTCTCCTGCACCCTGACTACCTTGTGTATGGATGGGCAGAGAGGTCACCTCTATTTTACAGGAGGGTAAACTGAGGCCACAACATCACACAGGTCCCTCCACTAGACTTTCAGCCCCCACACTCAGTGCTTCCAAACTGTTTCCACAAATCTTGCTCTTTGTGCCTCCTGTGTGCTGCTGCCATCCAAATGTGTCCACCCCTCTACATCTGAGCGACATGCCAGCCCAGAGCCCGTTCTGCCTGCTCTCTTGAACGCTGGATGGACTGACTGGCTGATTCCTGCGCACAGTTCCCTCTCTTGTTTTGCTGAGGCAGACCTCCAGGAAAAGAAGCACGGGAGGGATCAGTCCCCACCCAGTGTGGCTGGGGGGGCCTCCCCCCAAGTCCTGCCCAAGAGGAGCCCCCTCACCTCCCGGCTGCGGGGCAGCTCCACATGTTCCAGGAGGGAATAAGTGAAGTGGGGCTCATAGATCATGAGGTCGGGCCGCTCGATGTCCAGGATGGCCTTGTCTTTGGGGATGGCAGCCAGGTCCTTGTAGCCCAGCACCTGATTGTCCATCTTGGCCTGAAGGGAAAGGTGCACGTGAAACAGCTGTGCTGAAAGCCTGGCCTAGGACACTAGCCCTGCTTGCTAGACTTACGTTAATTACCAAGAAAACAGACTGCCGTTGCAGACGTTAACAATTCTATTATTTTAAGAAATTAGTCACCTTAAAACATGATAATCCTTTGACTAGCACTTGGGGTGTAACGAGGCCAGACCAGTGGAAGGGGTATACGGGAGCTTCTCTGGGTTTCTGGGTTCTCTCTGCCCGCCAGCACCGGCGGGACCACCACTGGGGAGGCTCCGCGGGAAGCTCCCCTAGCAGCCAGGGGTCTTCCCCCCTCCCCCCTCCCAGCCAGGAGGTGCTGGTGGCCGAGAGGGGTACTCACCACAATGCTGGAGGGAGAGCCAGGCACACTGGAATCTCGGGAGGGGCTCACGCTCCCGGGGGAGGTAAGTGGTTGCTGGGGAGAGCGAGAAGGCGGGCGGGTGGGCAAGTGCGTGTG